CACTGTATATACATATAAATGCACGCTCTTGATATATAAATATATATATACACTAATATATATTTATTTATATATATATATATATATATATATATATTATATATATAATAGAGACAGAGAGTATTATATATATCAAGAGTACATATAATCTCTATTATGTACTCTTGATAGATAGATATCCTCTATATAGATATCCTATATATACTTATAGATAGATAGATATATATCCTCGCCTACGACAATAACTAACCTCAAGCTTCTTAGGCTCGGGCTATATTTAGATCAGTGGTCATGCTGTCAGTGTCCGTGTATGACATTGCCGCTAAAAGTCATGACGTAAAAGCTCTTGTGGTACGCAAAGTGTGACGTCATTACAATGTGCACGAAGAAAAAGGGAGCTGTTTGTGTTTAGCTAAATCATAAATTCCCTTAAATTACATTGCTTTTACGCAATATATGTAGGCACATAGTTGTCAGAATTCAGCGAGTGTTTACTTTTGTTGATTGGATCGCAAACAAAATCGTGTGTAAGTATTTATAATGTTTTATGCATGTTCTCAGACTTAGTCTTTGGCTTTGCTTCCAAGATCCACCATCATGAGTGATCATGATGCTCTTCATGATGCTGTTATGCTGCTATTATGCATGCTGTTATGATGCTGTTATGCTGCTTCATGATGATGTTATACTTATACTAGTTATACCAGGAGTCTATCATTATCCTGGTTATCAATCCTGGTTATACTATAGTATAACTGCCTGCTAATTAGAAGTATTTAAGTTAAAAGATTTCGATTCGCGTTTTGTTATTGTTAATAATAATAGTAATAGTACGTCTAAACACACACAGCTTTTCGTACACGGCGGGTACAGGAAATCTAAACCTCCAATAATAATTAATCACTTATTCGTAAAGACGAAAGTCTTTCTCATTGACATTGTTATTGGGTGATACTGTCACTGGTCCACACCACAATCACTGCATGAATCAACGAGTTATTGTAATACTAATAGTAATACTAATAGTATGTATGATATATTTTACTTTAAAGTGAAGGCAGTGGCTACGGTAGACCGAATAATTCTGTCCCATATAACCTTTTTTATATCTTGGTGAGGGTTATATTGGGACAGAACGGGGTTCATTGAAATTTCGTGAGATCGCATAGCATAAATGGCATGCGCTGACAGAATGCGGCCCCGTACGACTGCTATTGCGCGAAAAAAAACCTACACCGTTCCCATTCTACATGGCTTTACCCTTGCTACTGATGATGTGATACATTCACGTTCAATCGTTTATTTCACTCTAAAAAGATGTTTTAATAAACAGCGGGCCCGAGCCCTCGCTTCGTTCAACTTTCCTGTGAAATAATCGCGCATTTACAAAGCAATCAAGACAATCACAGCGAGTCGTATCACGCTCCTGGCAGCGCCACAGGATACAAGCGAGAACCAAGGGGCTATTGTAAGACATCGTCTGATTTGGTCTGATTGTTTGTAAATGGCGATGTAATTTCAGGAAAGTTGAAGCGAAGCGGTGTTTATGAAAACAATCTTTTATATTTTATGAAGTGAATATCGATTGAAGTGTAATGTATAACACATATCACGTAGCAAGGTAAAGCATGTAGAAGGGAACGGTAGTTTTTTTTCGTGCCAAAATCAGCGGCGTACGGGCCGCATTCTCAGCGCATGCATTTTTGCAATGCGATTCGACGAAATTTCACATGAATCCGCGTTTCTCGTCCTGCAATATAACCCTCACCAAAATATAAAAAAGGTTATATGGGACAGAAATTTAAATTCGTCTAGTGGCTACGGGGTACGGGCAGCCGTATCTTAGTTGTCTCGAGGCTACGGGTTACGGGAGTTCCATTCGCTTTCATACTTGAACGAGACATAAGATGGCGCGGTGGCGCCAGATTTCAAAATAACGCTTGGAATAAATTCACAGATTTGAGAGTTTAAAGATGAGCAGAACCATAACCGCTAACCCTAAAACCTAACCGTAACCATTAACCCTAAACGCTACCCTAATCTAAACCTAACCTAACCCTAAACGCCAAAAAGGGGCTTCAAACGACTGATGGCTACCGGTACTCTAAGCCACTGCGTAAAGTGAATTACAATGACCGGCGTAATACTAAAGTAAAAAAAAAATATTTCCACTTCTCAGCAAGAATGTAAGTATATTCTGTTAATTTTTAATGGTAAATTGCTGCATTATACTTCCTATTTATACTATATTGTTCGATGTAAGACATACACTTGTGACTCAATACATACCCATAGCAAACAAGTTAAAGGGACGAGTAGCCTCTAAGGATTTTACTGCGATACAACTGTACTTACTGTATAACAAATCGTCTATACCCACACGTATTTGTTACCAGATACCTAATTTAATTGTTATAATTAATTACACATCAATGCTACAAAATTTGAACGGCACCATGACACCCGCGACCGTGCTGCCACTCCGAAAAAGTAGCGTATTTGACAATTTATTTTGCACGTTACAGACCAGGGCTAATCACAAAAGTGCAATTATATTTATACCTAAATGCTATTTAACCAAACGATATTCATTTTAGGGCAAATTTATCCATATTATAACTGAAACTATATGTCATTTATAAGATATTACAATCCTTTTGCTTTTAAATGAATAAATAAGAAACACTCGGTCTGTAGCCCTTGGCTGGTAAGTGGTTTTGCGCAACTTATCAGATCGTGCGCTTTGAGTGGCGCCACCGTCGTTGTAATCAAACCGTAATCGTTAGTTTTAAAACCTTAAAAAAAAATATTTCTAATGGTGATTGAACCATGAAACTTTTTATGTAGCGTAATTATAACCTAAATTAGCTGAAAATAACCCTAGAACCTAGAGTGAACACTCCCTTTAATGTCAGGCACATGATATACAGACATGTCAAGTCTCACGCATTGAGCGTGAGACTCACGCATTTTGGTCAATTCTCACGCGCTCACGCTCATCTCTGAATTTCTCACACAAAAATCGAAATCAATAAATAAATAATTAAAAACCTTTATTTTCAGTCCCAGATACCAGTATATATACTAGTATTGGAAGGCTAAGGCTTGATGAACAGCGCCGCGCCCAGCTAGCTAGCTCTCTCCGGCCGTAAATACGTATACGCTATAAGCAGTGCGGCCAGCGCGCGTGCGCGGCGCGCATTCTATTTGCCTGCTTGGAATCCAATATCCCGCCTTGATGATGGCTTTGCAGGTTACTGAGGTATTTTGTTTACTTTTCAATTCTCAGCACACATGCTGAATCATAAAAAAATTCAATTCATATTTCCCAATACTTCTATCATTCAAAATGAGTAAGAACTTATATTTATAAAGGCAATAAATCATACCCTAGGTATGCACTAAATTGCACCATTTCAAACTTCAAATTTCGAAAAGCGCCACACCATCCCCCTCCCTTGGTCGCTTCGCTCCCTCGGCCAGTGTCGCTCCGCTCAACGCTGAGTCTCACTCTCAACCATTTCTCAAACTTGACATCTCTGGATATATCAAATCGTCCAGGTTTTCTTGGATTTTTAACTAGTTGAGAAACAATCTTATCAGGTAAGAATTTGACGATACATTTAGTTCCGTTAGTACTTACTTTTAATGTAAAAAATGGCAACAAAAAATGTACAAATATACACCATAGAAAATTCGTGACACAGTCCATTTAATCATAATAATGTAAGCAGTTTTTGTAGTATAGTGATAACCATTAGCACTAAAGTAGTTACACTATAACTATAACTTATAGTAATTAGTATTAGTATGCAAATAGTTTGCTGTGTCAGATTTTGTCAATCTGTTATCAGCTATTCATGTGTTGCTATTTGGCATGTTCCTATTGCTAGTATCACTGTCAGCCAACTCTATCAACTTAGTCAGGTGAATGGTACAGTGTGAGTGTACTAGTATTTCAGACACATAATACTAAGTGTATAAAATACTATTAATAATTTTTGTGTTGTGCCGGAGTGATATTGACGATAATTTTTTGAAGTGTATCTATTTCCTAGTTTCTGACCACGATTATAGTAGCCTAGTAGGGAATGTACTAAACTAGTTTCCTGTTGCCTTTAGGGATGTATTTACAGGGTCTGAAATAAATTTAAGCAAGATACGGGAGTTTTTGGGCCTACAATGGTCAATATTTCAATATCGGCAGTGAATACTTGCTGCCAATTAAATTCTGAAAACCAAATTAAAAGCAGCAAAGTCACAGACGATTTGTGTTAAAAACAATGGCCAATATTTCTGGCTTTGTTTTGTGTGACCCTACGTTATCGTCCGTACTTCATTCAATACATGTGCAACTTGGGTTAGGCATGAGTGACTATATTTAGAATGTACCGATCAGGGGAAATGGGACTAGGTGGTGAATCGGCTTCTTTATGGACAGATTCAGTAGGATACTAAGTAGTAAGTACTGTTGTTATGGGATGGAGTGAAACTGATATGGTTTGCCCAAGTTTCTTTTTTTTTCTCTGGTAATATATACTTGCTGCTCTTATAATTCTTACTCTTTTAATTCTTCTTAAATTCAATTTCTTACTCTGTATTAGTTATGTGATCATGTCTATTAATTCACTAGATTTTTATTATGGGGTTCTCCGTTCATGCATCGAGGATTCTGATCTCGAGCTGTTAGATCAGTTGATCATTCCAAAATCACCTTCAATTTCATACCCCAATTGCTTTCCATTGTTTCAACTGAACGTAGTATGAAAGGCGTTGCAACTTTTGTACCTTACCTAGGGGGAGCCGCGATACATGGGGATAAATAATTTCACTCAAGTGCTCAAGAGCAGAAACCAAGGGTGGTCTCAAACCCTGGACCTTGAAACCTGATATCCTTCTTGCTCACCACTAGCTGCCACAGCTCCATGGTATATATAATTGTTACATATATAGGAACAATGGTCATATTTACCAGATATTAACAATGGTCAACTTGATAATTGCTTGCATAAAATGGAATTTGTAGTCGACAGAGAAAGGTATTTAATATGGGTTTGTTATAATATATGTATCAGGACTGAGATGATACATCAATATAGCGATGTATCATGATACAAACCTTGTCGATACACGTGTCAATACGTTTGACCATTAACGATACACGTATCGATACTCTACTGAGTAATATCCACATCATTTAGTAGCATAGTTTCATCAAATAACAAAGAAACGTGGCACAATCCGCAATTCTGTTTACTAAGCGCTCCACGAAGCTGATTTGTAAGCATTCACATGATCGTTAGAGTCCCGGATGATTGTATGATTTACTAGGTAGTCTCTCTTGAAAGTATGAGGATACGTATCCAATTGTGAAGGTTGTATCATGATAAGGCTGTATCGTAGCTAACCGTATCGTCCCACCCCTAATATCTTTTGTAACTATAACTTTTGTGTATTTTAAATCTTGTCCTTCCAAATCTTTTAAAAGTTATTCTTGGTTCATATATAATCGTAGTTCATATTCAGG